ATTTCCCTCACCATCTGAAATCATCTCGTCTCTATCCCTGAGCTTTATGGAACTAATATGCAACAGCTAACATATTCTATCTGAAGAGGAAATCCCCTGTCTCCGATGGACCTGACTTCTTCATTTCCTGTGAATAGCAGAGATATCTGCATCTGTCGGGTCTCAGGACCATGTTGAGAATATTTGTCTACCTCTGCTGGAAGCCCTTCTGATTAATCAGGCTCCTTGAGTTGGAAACATAAGGATTTATAATGAAAAAGAATCACACAGTAAAAACAGAAAGAATGAAAAGAAAACAAACCAATAAAGAACCTATCCTATCATAACATTTGAGGTTCTGGTATTTGCTGGCTTTGGAGGGAGTTCAAAATAAATGAAAGAAATGTGTATTTTATTAAATGCTAATATTTAGAAGATGTGGGAGGGAAAAAAAGAACGATACATGCTTCCAATCATATTTGCAAATACGAGGCGTCTCCTACCCCCTTCAAAATGGTTAGATGTTTTCCTTGCATTTGGGCAATCTACTCAGTTTTTTAAGTAATGCCTGGGATCAGCCATAAAGTTGTACCAGGAGTAGCGAAGCTGCATGTGCATCCAACCAACAGAGAGGGGCACCACATTATGCTCCCAGCCTACAGCGTAGTACAATAACAAGCTCTCTCCAGCCAAGTCGCAGCTGCCCACCGACTTCCTCCACAGGAAGAGCCTATTGCTTTTGACTCCACGTAGACCAGCCTATAATAAACTCTATCCTTCCCTTGCAACATCTGCTATCGTTAACATGATCTCTGTTTGTCTTGAAGTATAAATAGGCCCCAAATTTCAAAAGTTCAGAATGCACTGAACCATAACAGCATAGCTTCTTCCTTTTCTTCTTGGTAAGAGCCCTATCCCTCTCTTGGGTTTTGGAATTCATTTTAAGAACAACAATGAAATAAAGTGGAGAGGAAGAAGATTTGAGGGGGTCAGGAGTCCTCAGGGGGGTCAGAAATGAAGAGTTCCCTTTGCTTTTGTCTCTAGTATATGTGCAGTAATAAATGTTGACTGTGAATTTGAGCAATTTTTCGTATACTCTTACCTTCACACTAACGTTAGGAGTTTATCATCAAGATAAGTCATGAGAAAAAAAATCTCGTTTTTTATTAACTATTCTTTATTCAATACTCAAAGTGGTTTATAATATTCAGATATACAAACATTTTATTTTACTTGAGCAAAACATTACTTATTCTGTATAATTAATGTGCTTCTTTTCAAGAAGAGAAAACAGGTGATCCGCAGACCTTTTGCTCTGATGTAGAACATTGATAAACAGCAAAGCACTGAGCCCTGACAGCCCTAGGTTCCTAGCTTAGCCCTGCCCTCAGCGGCTAATTAACCTCACTTCTCTGAACCTCAACTTACTCATCTAAATGGATTAAATGAGTAATTATTTCATAGTATTGTCAAAGTAGTAGATGAAATAATGCACGTGAAATGTTTGATATATGTGTTTAGTAAATATTAGATGATAATGATTCCCCAAAGACATGATTGGATCTTCCAGTGTGACTGAGAAAGTTTTATGGTCCAGTTATCTGAGCTAACTCCAATAGACAGAAATCAGTTCCATATATATCTCCAGAGGAACGGTCAAAACAGGTAAAATGCTTATAAGAGTGTCTAGCAGGTTGCAAACACTTGATAAATGTTGGCTATCCATCACTATCATTATTAATGTATCATTAATAATGTACAATTATCCTTATTATTGTAATCAGTTTACTGAATGAGCTGGGCTCAGCAGGTGTGAAAGAGGAAATTTAGTCTTTCTAACCAAATCTTATTTAAACTCATGCTGTCAAATGATTTTTCCCAGGTCTTGGATGGAACTCTGAGCAGATGACATAACTTTTTTGATTACTTTCAAATATGAAAAATTCCAGTCCAGTCTAATGCTGTCTCAAATCCTTTTGAAAATTTCTTCCTTTCCTCAGCCTGAGCCTGCCTCGGGCTGGGAAATCTGCTATGGGAAAAAAGCTTCTCTGGCTTTGGACCATCTTCTTTGACTTCTCCTCCACTTGCTGTGTAGCCTCTGGCGCTCCAGTGTTGAGCTTGAGGCCTGGAGTTGGGAGAGGGAAGAGCAATATAAGACAGAAAAGATCTCCCTTGATGAAGAACGTATAGAATCTAGTATGGATGTCCCGTGAGTTTGCAGATGTCTGAGACTAGCTCTTTCTGGAATCAGCCCCTTCTGTGGGTTCTGCAGAGATTTACACTCAGGCTCTGTGGCTACTCGCCTGCCTGCTCCTGCCAGCTGTTTAAAATTTCTCTGGTAGCTTCCGGTGTCCAGTGTCTACCCTTCACTTGAGCTCACTTCACACTCCTTGTGTGGGTCTCTGTTAAAATAATACATGACACACTCCTTTAGCAGGCCCATACCTGGTCTACAGGTGGCCAAGTATCTTTGCTCAGCAAGCCGAGAATGGAGCCCTTTTTAACACAAGTCACTTCAACCAATCTCTCATTTGCAGACTCTTCTTCCACGTGTCAGACAATAGTCCTAGTTAGAAACTCCTCTGAGTGTTACTTTAAAGATCAATTCATTTGGTGTGAGATGTGAGGGCAAACACTATGCTCCACCCACTGTGAGAACAGATGGAGAATTCACAACACATTGAAAATTGTCTACAAATGATCCTCACAACAGTACTCTTCCACCTCCTGATGAATTGTCACCTTCTCTTATATAGCCTGGGGATGTAGGTTGGCCCAGATGAGCAGAGGCCATATTAGGTTCTAGTCACTTTCTTTGCAAAGTCAACATAGATGGTCTTAGTCTGCACTGTCCAACACAGCTGCCACTTACCACGTGTGGCTATGAAAATTTAAATTTTAATTAATTAAAATAAAATAAAATAATAAAATAAGTAAATTCAGTTTCTCAACCTCATCAGTCACATTTCAAGTACTCAGTACCCACATGTGGCTACCATATTGGATAGCACAGATATAGAAAATTTCCGTCACTGCAGGAAGTTGTACGGACATAGCTAGGACTTTGTAACTTCACTTTAGAAGATGAAAGTTTTGTCATCTATTATTTTGTTCTCAGGTCTTGAAGCCTCTGCTGAAGTTACAGTATAAGAGGAAAAATCATATTTACCAGTTTGTTATATAATCAATATGTAGATTTTTGACATCTGGGTTCTGGACTAGGGATATACCAGAACACAAAAATACAAGACCATTTTTCATGATGCTAAACTTATAGATAAAAATGAAAATAGTTAATTATAGTTCTTATGATTGAACCTCAAGTCCAAAAAAAAAAAAAATACATTCAGGCAGAATTAGCCTCCCCATCTTTTCTAATCCCATGATGGGACACAGAACAGCATCTACCAAAGCTATTATGCTTTTATATTTATGATGTTTTATAGTTTACAGGAACATAAATTGTCTCATTTTTTTCTAAAAGCAACTGTGAAAAGTAGCCAGAACAGTTATTATCATGCCCGTATTATCAAGCATCAGTGACCTACCCAAGGTCATAGAGCCAACATCCAGGATAGCCAGGTATGCCTGAGCTCCTTATACCTCATTATGCTTCTTCCTGAAAGCCAGGAAAAAATTAGAAAAACAAATTCTTACACACAAAGAATGCAGGAATTCAGAATGGAGCCACTGCCAAAGGTCACCACAATTTCAATTTTTCAATCATGTATATTCTCCCAGATACTTCATATGTCAAAAATTAAAATTAAAGGCTATTTTATTAGCAGAATGTGGAGAACCACCTGGTCTAATGAAGAACATGAAAGACACACACTAGAGGTTGTCCATTTCCCCTAACAAGATTGGGATCTGGGTTTTGCTTTTGTTGAGCACATTTCCACTTTGCCTTTTTGTACCTTCTTGTCATTTACTCAACAACATTAACAGAGTCAACGCCAACCGCTTGGGAGGACATGGGAAGAAATGCAGCACCTAAGAGAAACATTTCAACACAGATGAAGGGGATGCATGTCACTGATACTGGTACTCACCTACGCAGAGTAGATGTTTGTTTATTCATGGTTTTTAAACCAGATTTAAAGAAGAAAAGAGTAAGAAGAAATGCATAGAAATGAGAAACTCCAAATTCAAGATAGTTTTCTCTAGGAAGGGGCAGAAAAGGAAATTCAGTTAGAATCGGGAAGTCAAATTTGGGCTTCAGCTGTCTTTGTAAATTTGGAAAACCTTTCTTCTAGAGAAAGAGAGAGAACATGAGCATTTATTATGCTTTTCTTTATACCATTGAAAGGTAAAATTCTTTAAAATCAATTTTTAAAAATAAAAAAGGAAAGTCACTAAAGACCTGTTTAGTAGAAAACAGATTATCTTTACAGGCTCTTTGGTCTTTAGTTGTTTGTTGAAAAACACTTTTACTTGCATTGTTTTTGTATGAGTATTTTTCCATAAAGCCAACAGAAGGCTAAAACCTAGAATTTTCCTTGAAAAAGGCTTCCTTTGTCTAGATGTGCTAATAAAAGAGAGGTGTGGAATTAAACTGATTTTTTTTTTTTTCATTTAGCTTGGCTCCATCTTTCACATGAGTCCCTAACACACTTCTGGATCTAGGTGGAGGCACTAAGCATGGATAAATAAATTATCTGAAAATATTCCAAAAGCATCATCAAGTTCAACAAGTGTTCAAATTTATGTAAGTATGTGTAAATACACAAAGATAATACAATGGTTTGGGCTTATTGATCTTTCCCTGATCTCACCTCAGGATGAGGGAAAACATCACAAAGGCCCTCCCTAGCGGGTCCCCAGTGCTGAATAGAGCGCTAAATACTATGCAGCTGCTGCTCAGCTGCCTGCCATGTCTCAGCTCCCCTGTCTCCTGGTCGTGGATCCTGACCTCTGTAGATCTATAACTGAGTTCTGGCCAATCATATTACCCCATTCCTTTGGACCCAATGATTGGCCCTGAGATGGACATAACAGCCAAACAGGGTTTATTAGTATTTTCCTGGGCCTGATACATAAACATCAAGAGAAAAAAAAAAATTCGTTGTCACCTGAGATTACTAAAAGCCCTTTAGCAGCAGGAAGAAATTAGGTGAAGAGGCACACAGAGCAGAGATAAGCAGAAAAGAAAAAGAGAGAGGGTTGACAGCACTGAATACTTGACCCCAATTCCTGGTAGTCTTGAAGGCCATATTTTTTTAACTCTTTCTTCAATTCTATTAGGGATTACAGTATCCTTTTCATAAGCACAAGCCACATATTTATGTGTTGCTTAAGGTTCTTAGAGTTGTGACTCACTTCCTTGCCCTGAATAGTATAGTCATGATCTGTATAACACAGTTTCAGTCAATAATAGACCATATTTATGATGGTGGTCCCATAAAATTATAATACCATATTTTTCCTATACCTTTTCTATGTTTAGATATACTTATTATACATACACAAAACCCATTGTGTTTTAATTGCCTACAGTATTTAGTACAGTAACATGCTGTACAGGTTTGCAGCTTAGGAGCAATAGCTATACCATATAGCCTTAGGTGGGTAGTAGGTTATGTCAAACTCTATGATGATTGCACAATGATGAAATCGCCTAACAATGCAGTTCTCAGAACATATCTTCGTTGTTAAGGGATGCATGACTGTATTTTGAGTAAGTATTCACTTGACAGGCAGGGCAAGGAAGGAGACTCTGGGAAGAGAGTGGAATGGACACAGGTGTGAAGGTATGATTTAATGCTAGAGAAGAAAGTAGCCCAGGTTTGAAGGGATAGGGTCTGTTACGAAATAAAGCCAGTGATGTAGGCAAAGGCAAGGCCATGAAGACCTTAGCATTGCTTTGACTCTCACTATAAGGACCTACCATGTATATCTCATTTCCAAAGGGCCTTGATCTCAGCAAGTATAGAAACCTTTGGTTAAATGAAACCTTGCTAAGTAGCATTTTTCTAATGACTATTATTTTTTTTTTTTTTGCTTCATCTCAAAGCATTAACATTTTAATAGTGGCCTGCTCAAGAAAAACAATCTTCAATGTATCAAACATCAATCTTTTCTGTTAGAACTGAAAGCCTCAGGACAGGTGGGTGAGTAGACATTGTAGGAGGGAGAGGAACTACTTCCCAGGTGTCTCCCAATGGTGCCACGTGGCCACTGTTTATTTAGCCTACAAGCAAGTCTTAGTTTCTTTCTCTGACTGTTCTTTCCCTGTGTACAATTTACTGCATTCACCCAATGATGTGTGTGGATTCTCCTGTGTTCTGGCAACCATAAGCACATTTGTTATGTGATCACTACTTCCTCTGGGAAAAGACAATGGGGCAAAAAAGTTATCTATGCTTCAGATGAATCACAAAATACTGTCACTGATGTTCACAGTCTATAAATGTGAGTCTAGTCACTGTTGCAGAGTCTAGTTGCTGCAACTTCATGGTAATATCTCTATGAAATATTAAAAACTCCTTTTCATATTGTCTACTTGAAGTGTAAGCAATAGGGGCATTACTGGTGAGATCTGAAATTGAGCACAGAGAGATTATACTGCTTATGTTATGTCACAATCATTAAATAACGTTTATTATCTGTTATCTGATCTATAGATAAATAGAGATGGTCTCAATAAAAGTGATTTATGATATTTCCAGCTTCTTTCACATAAAATGGGAACAACTATAAATGGAGATATAATCAAATAAAAAGCATAGAAGTGACATATAAAGTTGATAATGCAGTTTGATGTGATGATACGTACAAGCATACTGCATCAAGACAAAGAGAAATACAAACGCAGTGATCATGTGCTTGGAGTTTATTTCCTATTTTATGTTGTGAAGAATTATCATTTAAATACTTAAACTATGACATGGGGTTATACTTTTTTGTATTTAAGCCGTTCTGACATTTTATTGCTTTATTTAAGTCAGTACAGAGTCCATACAGGCTTCTGAACACTCTAGCTGGCTAGAATGACCAAGTGCTAATATATTAGCACAGCAGCTTTATGGAAATATGCAAGAAGCAGACAATTTTAAGTACATATACAGTATACAGATTTAGCCTGAATGTCAGACGCATATTAAAGCTTCCAAAACAGGCAATGCCGTATAATAATGTGCCAAATTAAGAGTTAGATCATGTTTTAGGCAATTTTTTCTTATAGATCAAAGGAAATCATTCAGAGCAGGGTTTCTCACTCTCAGTGCTATTGACATTTTGCACTGGATAATTTTCGGCTGAGAAGTGTTATGTTCTGCATTGCAAGATGTTGAACAGCCTCCCTGGTCTCTACCCAGAAGATGCCAGTAGCAACCCCTCCAGCTGTGACAAACAAAAACGTCCTCAAATATTGCCAAATATCCACTAGGGGCTAAAAAAGATCTCTGACAACCCCCCCCCCCATTGAGAAACACTAACTTGGAGAGGTTTTGCGAGAATCAAAAGAGAAGATATGTTACTGTTTTTACAAATTGTAAATTACCTTATAAGTGTCATATCTCTTTATCTAATATAACTAATTTTCCAATTTTATAATTGGAAAAATTATTAATATATTCTATTGCACAATAAATGACATTGATTTCTTATAGCAAAAACTTCACTATGCTCCTGGCAAAATTCATAAACAAAGCAAGATCTGGCAGCTCTTCAAGGCAGGATCATTCTTCATTCACATTTGTATCCCTAGTGCCTAATACAGTCCCCGACACACATGGCATGTCTCCATAAATCTTTTGTGAATGAAAAGGAAAGTCTTAAAAGATATTTTACTGTGCACATTTTAAAAAATGCTTTAACTTTAATGGGTCGCAATGAATTACATGTATTTGGCATTGTAAACATCAGGGAAGTTCCAGATGTGTGTGCACGGAGGCAAGCTATATGGAGGGAATCGCAAAAGGGACAGAACATCCTTCATCAATTCTATTATCCATTATACTTTTATATCTTATATTAAATATTTTCAAAATGTTCAGAAAATTAACACAATCTCCACTGTCACCAAAGTAATCCACATCACGACTACCATGGATTCCTCAGATTAGTTCATCTCTCTCCTATCCACTCTTATAAACTTCCATTCACTCTTCTAGAGTTTTAAAGATGCAAAGTAAATTATGTCAGTCTCTATTGCAAGTAAAAAAAAAAAAAAAAAGCCCATTTTCTTACAATGTCCCACAAGACTCCTTAGGCTCTGGGTCTTGTCTACTTGTCCTCTTTGCAGGCTACTCATCTGCACGGCCACCATTATCTGGTCCCTGAAGTCTGCTCTCTTCCAGGGCCCAGGCTCTTTCTGCCTTGGGGCTTCTGCACAAACTGCTCATCCTGCCTGGAAGGCTTTTGCCTTCCCACATTACCTGGCCAACTTCTACTGAATTTCGGTCTCAGTTTAAATATCACTTCCAAGAGCCATTTTCATTGGACAAACCCCTCCTACTCACCACCATTCTAAATTAGGATGCACTTAGGGCTCTTTTATTTTTCTTCTTCATAGCACTGATAACATTATTCATACATATATATTTATAATCGTGAATTTATATATATGTGTGTGTGCAGGTATGTATATGTGTGTGTATATATATAAAAGTGTGTGTGTGTATATATATATAATATATAAATTTTGCCTTTTTTTGTTTACTCTCCCTAATAAGAAATAAGGGCAAGAATTATATCATTAGTGATGTACATACACCGAGAGCTTTTGCTCCCACAGTAACTGATCCTACTTTTATGTCCCCTTGTCTCTATGACAAACAGTAAAATATTATACATTGTTCATCTGCTTGCAAACACTTTCAAGCAATGGCTCTATTGCCTTAAAAATGCCATGCACTCAAAGTTCTTACTTCTGTTTATTTTCTTTCTCTCTTCTTTGCCGATCTTATTTATCATATTGACTCACCTACCACTTTATTCCCAATAATTTTCGATTTTATCTCTAGCTGCCACTTAATTCCTAAGCTCTAATCCCAGAGATTCCAGTCACCAGCCAAATATCTGAGTGGCTCCCCGTCCACAGAGAAGGCACCACAAACTCACTAAAGGCAAAGCTTAAGCAACCGTCCTCTGTTTTCTTATTTCCCGTATCTGCAACTGGAACCTCCAGATATCCTGACCAGAGACAATGGGGTCACTGTTGACTTCTCTCCACAGTCGTCAAAGTCAGGAGTAGGCAAACCCTTTCTACTTCCTCATTTTTTTTTTTAGATTTCTTTGATCTGTACCATCCTCTCCATTCTGGGTGCCATCAATCTACTCAGGTCCTCAGTGCGTTTCCTCTAAAATTCATTTAAACAATTGAAACAGTGTCCTAACAAGTCTTTCTATTTGGTCCATGCTCCTACTCATTCTTCACCCTGCTTCCTGCTGCCTCACCCATCTTTCTAAAGTTCAGCTTCCTACAGCCTCCACCTCTATTTTGAAATTTTCAAAGCCTCCTCAATGGTTACTGCCATAGATTTAAGCACTCTAATCTGACACTGAAGGCACTCCAGAAGTGTGGCTCCACCCTTTCTTTCTTTTCAACGTGTTTTCCATACTGCATCCAAATGAAAGTACCCCACATTTGGTCATTTCTGAGTTCTTTATTCATGTCTGCTCTCAATATGGACAACCTTTTTTCCCTTCCATCAATATCCCACCGATGTACTACTCTTAGAGTACTTTTTATGTGTTTGTAGGTGCTTATCTTATATTACCGCATACTGTAATGGACTACTTGGATTATCCCTCATACTAAATTATCTCTTTGGGATTCAAGGCTGATTCTCACTTACGTCTAAATTCCCTAGAAAGCTTCTGTACAGAAAAGGTCATGGGTGTTAATAAAAAGCATGAGCACTGAGTTCATATAGACCTGGGCACAAATCCTGGCTTTATCACTTATTATATCATCTTAAGCAAAGTCCTTAAACTCTGTGAGCTTCAGTTTCATCACTGTAAATATGATGAAACTGTGGCTTACTTTCCAAGTTATTGTAAAGATATGATATAGAAAACATAACGTCTGGCATGTAAGAGGTACTCAGTAAACGGGAACTGTTGCAATAGTAGTACTATTACATGGTAATGGAGAACCAACATATACTGATTAAATTAAACTGAAATTAGCATGATAAATTTTTCCTGTCCTCCAGGAGGTTATAATCTAATCGGGAAAAGGAGTCGCCACCACGTGCTAACATCATTAACCATTCTAAGTAAAATGTAACATGAATGAATGAAATTTTCAGCAAGTTCCAAGGTTATGTAAAAAGGAAAACTCACTTCCTCCCAGCTGGAGAAGACATTTCCCTGAAGGACACACCAGGGCCTCTGTAAAATCTCTTTCAACATGGAACAACCACAGGAATATGCTACTCTGAATAATAAAAGGTTATTCTCATTTGTTTTACCTTTTATATATATATATATATATATATGTATATATATATATATATATATGAAGTTTGTTTTAAATGAGTCATTAATCATTTGTTTCATTGATTACTCATTTCTTTTTTAACTACCTTTTTATTAAAAGGCATCCTACTATAAGAAAAAAAAAGTCTTTTGAAAAAGGGGAAAATGTCTGGGTCTGAATCATTTCTGGTTTTTTTTCTCTAAGATAAAGTGTAAAAGTCTGGTGTGATAGGTTATATGATCTTAAAGGAGTCATTTTGCTTCCGAGACCTCCATGATATTAGCTGTAAAATAGTAAATAAAGGTATGTTTTCCACAAAAAAATCTTAAAAAGACATGATAAGCCTCATTTTACAACAGATTCCAAGGGAGCTCATATAGTCAGTCTAAGTAGCTGTCCTCCTTCATGAGCAGAGAAAACCTTTGATTCTGCTCACCCTTCTGTGTCATTCATCCCCCGGCATGCATGGCCCTGTTGGAAGGGGAGAACGTGGGCAATCTGGATTTCTAATGATCAGGTACTACCACACAGATCAATGCCAGAGTTTATACCCATGAAACTGGCAACTATTGAAGAATAATTCAGGTTAAGTGGAATGATTTTGAGAGAGGTGGGAAAATCAATTGTTGAAATTTTCAAAAGGTGATGTCATCCCTACCCCCAAAACTGGAAGTGGAAATAAGAAAGGATAATAAAATAAAAATGGATGGTGAGATGTTATTTTGAATCTGTTGCAAGTGTGGAGGTGATCAAGAGTAATTTAGGATATTTTTTCCCTCTCTTTTTCATCTCCCTCAAGAAGAGAAACAAGAAAGAAAATACTCTAAATAACCAAATCTGGGCTTTATATATATATATTATATATATATATATAATATATATAATATAACACACAACAATATATCTCTCTCCCCCCATATAGATAGATAGATAATAGATATAATTGGGGTGCAGAGCACAATACTCCAAAGTAGGATGCTTTGGCATGCTGCATACTTTTGAATGAAAGGAAATTGGAAGCTCTTAGGAGCTGCCTCAGAACCATGAACTTTCTAAGCTTCTCTTGTTTCTCCCACCAAGCACAGTGAGGGGCTCTCTCTAGAAGTTCCCTTATCTTATCGGACTGAGGAAAACTTCTTCAAAAGAAATGCTATGTTTTAAGATCCACTCCCTAGGAATCTCATCAACTAACCAGAAAAGATAAACCACCAGAGAAGAAAAAAGACTAAAAAATTTTCACCACGTCCATACTGATTTTTCATCTACTCTTCTGAGGGCAGTTCTGAGAGACTATCTGGGAGACTATATCTGCATAATGAGACCACCTTTGTTCACAGTGTAGTTTCACCCCTCACCTTCCCATAACTAACTCACAAACTATTGTTTGTCCTTAGGTCCCATTCAACATCCAAAGAGAATCATTTACAAATTACTGTCTGGTCTTTGGACTTATTTATTTCTGCTAAAAATCATTTACTACTCTTCTAAAATTGCCTACAGCCCCCCACTTCCCTCTTCCCTATTTAAGCCTCAACCATCCAGCCATTCTTTGAGTTTCATATTTTGTATGCTTCCTGTGTTTATGCACATTAATAAATTTGCATGCCTTTTCTCCCGTTAATCTATTGTCAGTTCATTTCAACCCACTTGAACCTTCATGGGGGGGAGGGAAAATTCTCTTTGCCCCTACGAGAGATAGAGATAGAGAGAGAGAGAGAGAGAGAGAGAGAGAGAGAGAGAGAGAGAGAGAGACATCCTGCAGTGAAGGAAATTAAGATAACCCTTAGCTATGAGGTTATAGGGAGAAAAGGATCAGAGAGAAGAAATACTACAAATGCACCTCTCATGCCTTGTGGCTCGATTCTTCTCAGTTCAGGCTTTCAGTTACAGAAAGTTAGAGTAGGTCCAGGAATAAAGAGAAGAAGTTCACAACTTGTCAAGCTGCTGGAAACAGAGAGGCTTTCTGTCATCCACATGTGTTTCTGCTGTGGGAAAGACCCCTTCCTGAGGGGAGACGGTGCTTAGCCAAGTGATTCGTTGGCTTTTCCAGTGCTGGCTCTTCAGCGCACCAATGCAGGAGGATATGCACCTACCCATCCGGAATAGACATCTTGAACTTTTTAAAACAAGACTAAACAATTGCTCCTTGTTTTAAAAAACTTCTTTTCTCTCTGATGCTATTTTCATGTCTGGGGCAAACAGAGAGCCATGTGGATGGATGTTTGAAACCTTGCCCCTCATTTGGAAGAAATGTGTCTTAGCATGTCCTGCAAAGGAATTTCTCACCATGTACCATCGTGTCCATATTTCACTTGGAGAAATGGAGGAAAAATGAAGGAAAGAGGGAATACAAGAGAGAAGAAAAAGAAACAGAAGTATGGAGACAAGAAAGTCCAAGAAAGAAAGAAAGAGACCAACGGGTGCTTGTGCGTGACTCTCTTTCATATGGAATTAATGGTGGTTTAATGGGGTATGAAAGGATGTTTTACTGGAAACAATGAGGAACAATTGTCTAGCTCACGTTTCATTTCACAGGTCATTATTGCATTAAGAAGTAAATCGACCAAGTCCGGTAAATAACAGTCTGCGTATTGCCGAGAGCTTCAAACCAACAATTTTAGCCATCGTGAACTAATATCTCTGTCATTTTAACCCTTGCAGGGTTGTGCTGGGGGCTAAACAATTACAGTCTTCACCCAGTTCTAGCAGGTGAGCATAATTCATCGTCCCTCTAGTCCCTTCTTTTGCAAAACCCAGGAGGCCATATTTTAGCATTGTTGCTTTGTTGATGAGCCAGCCTTAGCCAAATGCAGCTCTGGTGGCCTTGAAAAACAACCCCCATTTTAGTGAGTGCTGCAGGCATCTTTAAACAGACTGCTTCCTCTGCAAAATTAATTGCTGCAAAATGCAGTGCTCCCTCATCTAAGCTTTTGCAAGCTCATACTCAGCTATTTGGGTAGGCCATAGAATGTCTGAGAGATCCAGGGAAAATGAGCTGCTTTCCTTTATTATAGAGTTTTACATTTGTGTCACCAAGCATTATCAGGCACTGGACACCCAGGAGTTTCTGATGCCTATATTCTGGTTCCGTTAACTCAGGGGCAATGGATGACAAATGTTGGCTGCATTTTGAAGTATTAGCATGGTAAATAAACATATCAAAAGCAGTTTATAGTAAACAATTATATTTAAAATACACATAATAAAATACATATTTAAAATGTGTATCAAAATAAAATATTTTCTTCAAGTTGTGATAAAAATGAGACAAAATTCATGTTAAGATTGATCATGTTCCATAATCACGTCAACAACAACTAGGTTATACCGATAATTTTTCAATCAAAGTCAGATGTTCACCTTGTAGAGTGGATATGGAATTCTTAACATTTCCACAGTACCTCTGAAATAAGATATATAAGGTCTAACTTCTATCTGGAAAGAGAAAAAAATCTTGCAGAGATGGCCTCAGTATTCCAATTCTTTCACTCTTATTCTTTCACCTTGCACAACTAACACTAAGGTCTCACAAAGAACTATGGCATGCTGCATGACAGGCCCCCTAAGATGTTTATGCCCTGACCCTGAACATGTAAATATGGCCAGGGGACCTTGCAGATGATTAAGGCTATACATCTTAACCTGGGGAGATTATCCTAAATTATAAACCCTTAGAAGCAGAGAACTTTCTCCGGCTAGAATCAGAGAGATGTAGTAAAAGAGAGGGCAGGAGAGATTCAAAGCATGGTAGGATGCAATGCAGTGTTGCTGGCTTTGAAGATGAAGAGGGCCACACGTCAGGAGATGCAGGCAGCCCTACAAGCTGAGCATGAACCCTGACCTACAATGAACAAGGACACGGTGATCCTAGTCCTACAACTGCATGGAACTGAATCTGGCCAAGAGTCTGAGTGAGATTGGGAATGGATTCATCCCCAGAACTCCGAAAAACAAACAAACAAAAAAATGTAGCCCTGCTGTATTCCTTTTTGGCTACAGGAAACTCAAAGCAGAGAAACCAGCCACGTTCCTTAGACTTCTGACCTATGGAACTTTTATAATACATGGATATTGTTTCAAACCACTAACTTCTTAATCATTTGTTATAGCAGCAATAGAAAACGAGTATAAGAACCAACTAAGATGTGATGTTCGTATGTTCAAGTCACCATCCCAACCAGAGCCATGCCAAATGGTGGCAGTGGTGGCACTAGAACAGTAGTCACTAAAAACTACGTAATGCTTACGCCACACCAGGTGTGGGGCTACCTTTTTACATGTATTATGTCTATAAAGCTACAAAGCCCTTTTATCTCTAACATGTTCAAACAGAAAGATGAAATAGGGCCTAGGTGGATGGATAGGCTGGTTTCCACACAGGCAAAATTCAAGAAAAGTTGCATCCTACCAACACTACCCAAAACGGAAGAGATTATTATCCAGAGCCACATGAAAAAATCAGCTTCAACTCCTTTCCTCCATGGCAATTACTTTCAATTTTTCAACTGAATACATATTCAATTTTTATTAATATCCAGTGAGGGAGCTGTGAAAATTGGAATTGGGTTCTACTGGGAGTCCATAATTCCTTGGTAGAAAGATAGGCTTCTATGTCTAGGAAAATTTCTTTTCTTTGGTGTCCATTTCCTTGACATGCTTTTCATAATAACCATCTCATTTTTTCATGACTCCCATTTGTCATATAATTGAATTTTACTACCATTGTTCTTGTTAAAATAATAAGTAATACATGCACATGATTTTTTTTAACTTTACAGTTTTTCCCTCTGAGCAGTGATACTGAAGAGCAAGACAGAAGAGCAGCCAGAGGCATGGGATCTTTTCCTTTTTCATTGCGTATGTTTTACTGTTTCACTGATTCATCCAACAAAAATCTTTAAGATCTAAATTTCTTAAAGGTAGAGTTGCTGAGTCAGAAACACAGACCTTTAGATGGTTGCCAGATGCCAACAGGCTACAATAAGAGACATTTGAGAATAAGATTTGAGAACACTTCCCCAACACTTTTTCCAACACTGAAAATTATCACATTTTAATCACTGCCAATCTAATTGGTAAAACAATAATATTAATAATTATCACAGTAGCAGTAGTCACTATTGTTTTATTAGTAGTGGTGGACAACTCTATTGAGTTTTATCTCTTTTAAGCCATATAATAATCATATGAGCATATGAGTATCATATGAATATCCCCACTTCCTACATGAGGAAATTGAGGCTTAAAGAAGATACGAGACTTGCTTGTAGTGACAAATCCAGTGAGTGGACATGATCTAGGCAGTTTAACTCAGTGCAAGAGCTTAACCTGTGCTCTGGTTATGAGAAAAATTGGGTTTTTTATATGTGAATAGAAATTTGTATTTATTTCTCTGTAAAATGCTTCTTATAATCCTTTGCATAGCTTTTCTATTGATTTTTTATTCTTAAATATTAGTAAAAATATTTTTATATTAAGGAAATTAGCTCTTTACCTTATGAGTTGCAAGGTTTTTTCTAGATTTTAGTTTTATCTTTAATATTCTTTATTTTACAGAAGTTTGAATTCCGATATAGTCAAATTTTACAAGTTTGTTTCCTAGGTTTTGATTCATGGAAAGAAATATCTCCATAACTTTAAAAATGTATAACATTATCGATATTTTTCTGGTAATTATATGGATTTTTTTAAATCTTTAATCCACATGGAATCTATTTTTATAAAGAAATATATATGAATTCCTAAATGTTTTCTTTCTTCTCTATATGATTAGTCAAAAGCCCCACCATCACTAATTGTATAATTTCTATTTTCCCATGATTTAAAATGTCATTTTTGTTATGAACTAAATTCTTAAATGCATTTGAATCTGTTTCTGACTTGTAAAAAATTTTTCTTCCATGGACATATTTGTTTCTAGGATATTTTTGACTGCTTTTAAATTGTCACAAACTAGCATTAGTTTTTATATCTAATGAGTATGTAAATATATGAAGAGAAAACTGCAAACTAAATCAAAGAATCTTTCAGATCCTAACACTGAGTTGAGAACTTGTTTAGTACCTATTCATGATCTCGTTTAGTACCTATTGGCAAGGCACAAGCTTTGTATTTATTGGTGGGACTGCTCAAGTATTTCCTTCCATTAAAATGCTCACATACACACCCAGACAAAAATATAAGATCGATAGACATTCACCCCTCTGCCATAGGTCTAAAATAAGCTAAAGTTTGAGCTTTCACCTCCTAAATCTTTCAATACTCTTGTACCCCAAAAATGAAAGCAGCAGTGCAAGACTTCTCCATTACTGAAATGTGAAGACTAGAAACAGAGCTTATTCCCTCCTCTTCCCCACCCTCCCTTTTTTTCTGTATTATTTCTAAGGGAAAAGAGAAATACACAAAAATGAAAAAAAAAGAAAGTAGAGAGCCAGTATATTACTATGGCAAAAAGCCAAGTAATTTCATTGCTATAGGTATTCAAAAATAGCTCTTCATATGGAACATTGATATACTGATATTAGTGTTTCTCAATACAACAAAGCATAGAAACATGAACAGACTTCTTATAAAGAATTATTAACTTGGGTAGTAAAATTCTCAGTCTCAGGAAACCTTTATGCTTTGTTTGAAAACTAAATATTTAAATAGTATCTCCTGCTAATGGTAGATAATCCAGGGCTAGGTAAGCTTCTTTCTTTTATAGACTCATTTATATGACCAGAATCAATTAGGTGCTCTCTAGAATGATTTCTAATTCTGAGTTTAGTTTCAAATCCTAGAAATTCCAGTTGCATTGATGACCATTTACTTATAAAGATGGAATTTAAGAAATTGATAGAGTTTAATACACAGGTTAAAAAAAATCAATTCTCTTTAACATGTACCCCCAGAACAAATGAAGAAAGATACCCATATGGTAGGTGCAGCTACATGTAGCTATTTAGCCCTTGAAATGTGACCAGTCCAACTAAAGAACTAAAATTTAAATTATATATAGTTTTAATTATAATATAAAATATAAACCTGATAATTTCATTATTGAAAAATGTTTAAGTATATTTGAAACAATTTTTATATGTGATTCTACTTTTCAGTTGTAAAGTTTTTAAAATCTAGATTCAGATTAAACATTTTTGATAAAAATGTATTTTATGAATTGAGATATTCTGTAAATGTAAAATACATAACCAATTTTAAAGACATAATATGAAAAAAGAATGTCCCAATTTTATATTGATTACACTTTACAATTATATTTTGAGCAAAAAATATTTTATTAAATTTTATTTCATCTGTTTCTTTTTACTGTTTTTTTTTAAAACCTGGTTACTAATAAATTTAAATTATACTGGCAGTTTACATTATCATATTTTCATTGGACAGTGCTGTTCTGGCAATGTACAGTTCTTTGTTTCTACATTTTGGAAATATCATTGACAAATTGAAGGACATCAAAAATAAGCATCCTTGATGAAAATTTTAAAAATTTGTGCATCAAAAGACAGTCAATAGAGTAAAAAGGCAACCCATAGAATGGCAGAAAATATTTCCAAATCATATATCTGATAAGGAATTAATATCAAGAACATATAGAAAACTCCTAAAACTTAACAATAAAAATACAAACAGCTTATTTAAAAAATGGATAGGAGACTTGAATAGACATTTCTCCAAAGAAGTTATACAAATGGCCAATAAGCACATGAATAGATGCTCAACATTACTAATCATTAGGGAAGTGCAAGTCAAAACTACAGTGATGTATCCACTCACATCCACTAAAATGGTTACTACCAAAAAGAAAACAAAAAAATGAGAAAATAACAAGTGTTGGCAATGATGTGAAGAAATTGAAATGCTTGTGCACTGAATGTCAAATGGCATAGCCACTGTGGAAAACAATAAGGTAGTTCCTCAAAAAGTTAGAAATAGAATTTCCATATGATCTTGCAATTAATCCCACTTCTGGGTATATACCCAGGAGAACTGAAAACAGTCTGTAAGAGATATTTGTATGCCCGTGTTCATAGCAACGTTATTTACAATAACTTAAACATGGATGCAAGCCAATGTCCAAGGACCAGTGAATGGATAAGCAAAATGTGGTATATCCATGCAATGGAATATTATTCAACTCTAAAAAAAAGGAAATTATGTAATATGCTAGCACATGGATGAACCTTGAAAACATTATGCTAAATGAAATAAGCTATTCACAAAAAGCTGCTATATGGTTCCACCTCTATGAGATACTAAAAGTAGTCAAAATCATAGAGACAGAGAGTAGAATTGTGGTTGCCAGAGACTGGAGTGAAGGAAAATGGTGAGTTATTGTTTAATGGGTTTAGAGTTTCAGTTTTACAAGATGAAAAGACTTATGGAGATGAATGGTAGTGATGTTTGCACAATATTATGAATGTATTTAACATCACTGAACTGTACACTTAAAAATAGTTAAGATGGTAAATTTTATGTTATGTGTATTTTACCACAATGAAAACAATAAGCCAGTCTGAAAAGTGAAGAACTAAAAAATTATGTCACATGTTGACTAACAGAAGGAATTTAGAGTTTCTATGCTTGAAAGAGGCTTATTACAAAATCACAGTCTTACTGTCTTTGAATATGTAAAAGGCTGTAATATGGCAAGACTTATATTCTGTCACACAAAAAGGCAAACTAGTCACTGGGTACAAGGAATTGAAGGAAGATCCTAACAATCAAAATTATTCAAAATGCATCAGACAGCCTTATAAGGAAGTGAACTCCCACTTTCTGGGAAAATGAAAGATAGAGGCCATCTATGCAGTGAATGGGGAGTGGAACAGATTGACCTTCAAGGAACCATCCAAATCAAAGATGCTACAATCTTGTCATTTCCAACTGACATGTATTCCTGCAGACTAAGACATTAATATGAGGCACTATTTCCCAATATGTGTCCTAAAGTATACTAATTCCAAGGGACACTAATGTCTAGTATGAACAAGTATTCTCTAGTGAAAAAGTTTGGGAACTACTGAATAACACAAAATTAAATACTAGTCTTAAAATGTAATTGCAGAACTTATCAGAATCTTTAATATTTTAATGCACATGGTGATCTCCAAAATGGAAATAGAGTTTTCAAATTTTATTTGACCACATTTCTGACAATCTCCTGAGATTAGCCAATGGAGGAACATTCTTTGAAAATGCGGAAATAAATTATGCATCTAATTAGATCTATAAAATTTACTTTGTGGAACAGTTGACTAGCAAATCAACTTGAATTCTTGGCTTTTTTGCTCCTTTATTCATTTATTCCCTCATTCAGCAAACATTTACTAAACGTATATTATGTTCCCAAAATCGTACTAAAAATTCAAAGGACCTTCAAGGCACTCAAGGTCTGGTGGAAGGCCAGCTTGTGAACAGGAGCAAGATTGGAACTATGACGGAGTTGAGTGGTGGGTAAAGGAGGGCCATAAAGAGGCAGGACCCACACTGACTGTGAAAGCCAGGGAGAGGTTCACAGGGAAAGGGAGGTCTACACCACACTATGGAGGAAACAGCCCTGCCTCTGCTGCTTCTAGACTAATTCTTTTACTTGCCTCTTTCATGCCTCTTAAAGTTTTACTCATATGTCTAGGCTCATCACAAATCCCATTTTTTTTCCTTTCTAGAGCCTTTGTCTACACCCCAACTACATATGATCTGCCCAGTGTACTTTGTGCTAATTTTATACCAATTCGACTCCTCCATCTCATGGCTTGGCCCTCCTCCCCTATGTGAGGGCAGGAATTAGTCCTTATCTACCATGATGTCCCTTCTTGGATACCCCAACAGTACCTAGTGCCTTGCTCTCACTGGGTACTTAATAAACACTGTCTAATTTAAGGAAAAAGAGACAGAGAGAGAAAAAAACCTACATCAGTTCATTAAGGATAAAGGGGAAGTTACGGAAAAAAATCACCACGATAAATTTTTGATCTCATGACCACAGCTACCTACTCTATACTACTCCCTTGTTATCACACAGCCTCGGTGGTTAACACTGGCAACATGTATTTTCTTGGATGTGACACAGTCTTGGTTTTGTACATGGAGAAATGCCATATTTAAATATGCAGTCAGCACTCTGTATGTATAAGTTCCGCATCCATGGATTCTACCAACAGCAGATCAAAAATACGCAGAGGAAAAAAAAAATCCGCAAAATTCCAAAAGGCAAAATTGGAATTTGCTTCACATCAAGTACTACACTGAATCCATGTAAATGAAGTGATCTGTAGGCATTATATTAGGTATTATAAGTGATCTGCAGATGATTTAAAATATACAAGAGGATCCACATAGGTTAGATGCAAATGCTATGCCATTTTATCTAAGGAATTTGAGCATGCACAGATTTTGGTATCCCTGAAGGTCTGGAAATAATCCCTTATGGATACTGAGGGATGAGTGTGTGTATGTGTGTGTGTGTATGTGTGTATGTATGTATATATAATATATGTGAAGAAAAGGAACAAAATGAGGGGTTTTTTTGGCTGTTATAACATTGCCCTTCAAAAATGTTAAACTAATTGACAGTTACTTTTAAAATCTAAAAATATATTTGTACCAAATAAAGTAGAAATATGTAAACTATTCAGTTAAATATATAGAGAGAGTCATACCAGATGAATCAAACCACATAATGATAATTATCCAGAAATGGTTATGAGGCCAGGCTACAGAGTCAGACAAATATAGATTTAAATCTTGGTTCTGGACATTCTAGCTATGAGACCATGAAAAATTAGTTAACTTCTCTAAACTCCTATTTCCCCAAATGCTGAAAGAGGACAACAGTCCTTATATGTTAAGGTTGTTATAAAGATAAATGAGAATATTGACAAATGGCTTAGCCTAATGCCTGGCACATGGAGTGTGCTAAATAAATAATAACTATTATTATTGTTACTTTATATGAATAACTGCACAGTCTCAGTTTGCTTCGTTATGTGGAGACAGGGTTTTGTGTGCGAACAAAGCTGATAGATCTACAACAGCTATTAACAACATTGAAGACTGTAGAGAAAGAAGGATGAGAACTTGGATGGAGGGTACAATACAACATAGTGTTAAAAACACAGCTCGGTCCGGAACCTTCTGTTAATTAGTTTTAGTACTTAGCTTACCTGATGTCTCTACATCAGTTTCCACATTCATAAAATGGAAGCAGTAAGAATACCTCTTTCAGAGGGTAAATCCTGTTATGGCATTAAATGAAATAGCTCATCTAGAAGCACAGAGCTGGGAACATGGTGGACACTCAACCACAAGTGTTAGTTGCTGTTATTATTAATGGAAGATTTGAAGAGCACAACGATCATAATAATAAGATGCCCAGACTGAGGAAAGGAAAAAGAAATTGTTCCCATGGATCATATGCCTGTTCACATCATCCTTTACAAATGACACATGAAAATCATTCCAACTCACAGCATGGACTATTTCGAAATGCAATCAAATACTGTTATGCCATTCACTGCCTGGAGACCAGGCAAGTCATAGGGGAATGAGAAAATAAGGTGAAGGAAAGGTGCTCTTTGGGTCTTAACAAAGTTTCACTCGAAGCCTTAGCCTCCTCTTCTTGGGATAAAAATCCCTTGCAGCCACATATCCCAAACAGTCTAATATTTTCTGAGACTCCACTGTGCCTTTATATTTTAATACCCTGACATCTGGAATCCTAAAAGTCTAATGTTTAACCATAAATATCTGCTGAGATTAAAGAGCTATATACCAAGTTTCAATCTTTGGGTCCTATAATTGCTTGGGAAAAGAGAATGGTATTTCCCCCTCTAGCTAGAAGAAAAAGACCTCCGCAAGCTCAGATATTGGCAGACAAATTTTCTAACAACCGTTTCCTTTCTCCATTCAGTCCTCTCATTTTCTCCCTCCCTCTCCACTCTCCCATTTTATAATACCATCTTGCTGTCATTGCCAGGACAAATGGGAAGAGAGAGAAGCCTGGAAAGCTTAAAGAAAAGACACATTTCAAGATCTAGCAACACAGAGTTGAGGAAATGCTGGCCACTGTGTATCTGGAAGGCAGCGGAGCGTACGTCTCCACGTAGCTTGCCCTCTCCCATTATTCCGCTAGAAACCACTTCATCACTCTCCGGGCTGACAGTCAAATGCCAGCTTTATTTTCTTTTTTATCAACCCAATCTTTCATTTTTGATTTGAGGCAAGTCACTTTTAAGGTCTCCACAATGGTTTATAACTTTCTTCCTTGAGAGGTGTCCAAGAAGTAACACAAGGTGAAAAATCTTACTCTCTCACGGTAAAGCCTGGGAAACTCACCTGCCCTGGAGGCGGATGTGGTCAGAAGTCCTGGTCAGACCACAGGACTTTGCTGGGAATAATGCCACGGAAAGTGTGAGAAAAGCTTATCATGAGGTTATCTCTTTAATGTAATAATTCAATGTGGAATTTAAAAAAATAAACGTTGTATCAAACCCATTTTTAGCCAGTGATGTATTATGAAGGTGACATTTTGAGGTCATTCAATTCACTTGAAAACTAGGAAAAAATGATCTATGAAAAGATTATTTTAACATATTCTTTTTATTCAAAGGCTTAATTCAGATTGAAAACACTCCTGTATCTTTTTAGTTAATGTTCTTTTCTCTTTTGGAAACATATCCAGTGCGTATATAAGCAAGTATGTTTATGTCTGTTGGTATTTGGCACAGAAAGCTAATTCTTGATTATTTGTGAGAAATTGAAACTACTTCATAAATTAAAAATATTAATAGTCTTTTTTATATCTTGTCTATTTACTTCAAAGGGAACATATAATTCTATAGCAATTATTTTAAAACATAACACACCAGAATCACTTTTGTGTGTATGTGTGTCTGTTTAACACAAAGACCTGGAATTTATATGCACTTATTGCAATATTCAAAATCTCCCCACATGCAAATGAATATTTAAATTCCTAGATAATTCTGATAATTAGTCGGTTTTGAGAGCCAGTGTCTTGACTGCATCATGAAAAAAATATTGGTAGCAAAATGAGAAGTTTTAGTTTTGTTTTAAAATTTGCAGTCTATTGAAGACCAATAGTCTTTAAAACACAATATAAATTAACCAACAAATTAGATATACAGATGATAAGCCTTACATTTTATCAGATTCAACAGATATAAAATTATTCCATCAAATTGCTGTTTTTAAATGGTAAATTTATGTAAGTATCTCCCTGTAGACTGCTAGCCAAGAATTTGTGAGTTGGCACAGGTAAGTAGACCACTCATCGACTAGCACACCTTTAGGCCTTCACATCTTTGCCCTGGACATCTTTCCAACTGCATTTGTTAGGTCCGGTGGAAGGTGAACAGGTGGCAAGGAAGCGGCTAAGAGCAGAGAGCTGTAACCAAATTGTAGCTAGGAACTAAAGTGCAGCTAGGAACTGTTCCCTGGTGGGAACATACATGGTAAAAAGTTCCTACTAACCTTTAACTGACCTAGAGTTTATTACCATCTAATTAACATAACATGGGTGGAGCGTCACAAAGAATTCTGGGAAAGAAGCAGGCACAGAAAGAAAAACTGTTACATAATCCCAACCTGTTACATAACCCCAACCTGTCAATCACCCCCAAAGGCAGACCCTACAACCAATCCTGCCAGGAGAAAGGCGGGACAGACTAGTGAGCTTTTAAAAGGCAGTGTGTGCTCAGTCTTTGGGGTCTTTCTCCACTCAGGGATACTGACCCTATCCACTCCCTCTGGAGCGTATTTTCACCCTGTGTAATTTCCTTCGTTGCTTCCATTCTTTCTTTTATGTGATAAACTGTTTATATAAAATTGCTCTGTGTTTGCAATCACTCATGGGGAATCAGGGGATCAGGGAACATCCAGACAGACGAACCTAAACACACTGTCTACCTCCAGTTACTCCACAGCAGCTAGAATGATCTTTTCAGAGAGTGAAGAAAATCCTATCACCACCTTAACACTCCAGCAAAGTACACAGAAATGGAGAATCAAATGGTGGTTACCAGAGGCAGCATTGTGGGGGTGGTAGAAAATAAGGGAACGACGGTCAAAGGACATGAAGTTGCAGGTATGTAAGGTGAGTAAGTCCAGAGATCTAAAGTACAAAAGGAGGACTCTAGTTGATAATGTTGTATTCTATTCAGGATTTTTGCTAAGAGAATAGGTTTTTAGGTGCTCTCACCACAAAAAGGGGGATAAATATGTGAGATGATGAGTAACGTTAATTTGATTTACTATGGCGACTATTTTACTATGATAAGATTATCAAATACCAGGTTTTACACCTGAAATATACAAAACATAAATAAAGTTGAATAAAATCCAAACCTTTTACCCTGACTTACAAAGGAGCTGCCTCCTGTCTAGCCGCAATGACTCCCCCTCTTATTAATACCCACACTGGTCTCCCTTCCACACACTCCTCAGGACTGCGGAAGCCCCTTCATGTCTCAGAGCCCTTGCTCTGGCTCCTCCTTCTCCCTGGATGGTTCGTCCCTCTGGTCAGAGCAGTGACTGGTCACTTTTCAGTCAGGTCTCATTTGAAATGTAACTATAGCATTTAGTTTCAAATAGCAACTCCCCTACACACACACACACACACATCTCAAACTACGTCTCTACCTGCAAACGCTATTTTATTTTCTTCACCGTTCTCCTCTCTCCTGAAATTTTCTTTTAATTTGTTCAGGTATCTCTCCCTCCTGGAACATAAGCTCCAAGGCAGCAGGAATGTTGTTCACTGCCACAGTCTCCATGCTGAGAAAGGTGCTGGTAGACACTAGGTGGGCGAGATGCACTTGCCGAACGAATGAACATGCCAACTTCATCATGAACCATAAAAAAGATACTCAAGGAATGCTAACTTTCGTTTTACCTCTCTTCCATCTTTTTTTTTTTTTTGTCATGGCTGAGGAATTGCAAAATGCCATTGAAACTAAAGCTGATTTTTTCTTCTGTCCCCTGCCAACAGCACTGGTACTGCAAATGTATAAATTCGTCTGTGAGGTGATACCAGCCATTTGTAGTCTGAAACAGACAGGAAATGAGTATGAAGCCAGAATGGAAGGCACTGGTATCTGTCTAGTCTTACCTAAATGGGATATTAATTTCAAGACTTTGTTTTTCTAAATGACCTAAATGATTTTGGATTTTCAGATCACTGGATGCCTCCATAACCAAAAGAAATCCTTTCCAGAATAAAATGTAAATGGTTCTCAGAAGATTGCCTGCTTAGGATTAGCTGTCTTGCTCTCTATTGTCGTGCATTTTTCAAAGTTGGCTGCAAATGCAAACTTACAGATAAGTATAAAACAAAATTAACAGCTCACTTTTCCCCTGGCTACACACCCTGCATTACACAGATAGCAAAACCCACTGGCAGTGTTCCTCAGAGCTGATCCACATGGATGGTTTTTGCTCCTGATGCCGGGGTATATGACAATATGCTGGGACCTGTGGATATCTGAGAGGGTAGTTTTTATGGGAACTTATATGTGCAAATAAAATCTGTTATTTTCCAAATTAAAAATAAACCTCAAAGGCAATGGACTCCCAATGGCTTGGAGAGATTTATTAATAAAATAGGAAAGGATATAAAGGGATATCAAATTAAATGACATTTGGAATACACATAAAATTTGGTTCCAGTGGTCTCCATTTTCATCTTAGCTGCATTGCTTTCTCCAGTTTACTGAAGATGATCATAGATTCTTCCCTTGAAGAGGGAAAATACAAAATAGACATTAATTCTCTTAGGATTAAATCTGTGCTTTTCTTATCCACTAGATTGTAGACGGGAACAGGAAAGTAGCTAAGAAAAATGGTTTAAAAAATAAAAAGAAACTTGCATCAGGGAAGGAGGGATTTATTCATACTTTGGAAGTCAAAGAAAAACACTACAATTCTGTCAGCACCCGGAAGGCACTATTTACTATGTGTTGTCTCCTTCATTGCAAGAGGACACAGATTGTATTTTTAGTGCAGTAAACAGCAGATTCCACTGTGGGAATCCTTGCAGTTGGTACTGATAGCAACCTCATTTAAAATGTTATAAAGCTTTAAAACATCAGGAGTTTAGGCAGTCAGTCATATACACCTCCACATAGATACTCAGCCACTAACACACGTACATGCTTGTCCACGCATTGATAGTGGATTATGTGTAGTATTATATTACCCACCGAGATTTATCACTCAATCATGTTTGACAGCCATGGCAGAGAGCTGAGAAAAATCAAATATACCAGCATTGCCACCAGCAGCAAGCACATATTTGTGCCTGAACAACAGATCACACCACATGTTAGGCAACCACGTAAAAGTTCAACAAAAGTATGCTCTTGTCATTTAAACATGGAGCATCTGATTGACATTTTAGAGTTCCTACTTGTAACAGATGCTGTCTATGCCACACCCATATATTTTTGGCATTCACTTTCACACACCAAATGCCACCACTGCAAAAACCTATGACTGCTTTCTGAGAAAGTCTTTTGGTGTTAGCCTATGTTCAGGGAAAGTCAAAGGGCTGGAGAGTTAATGTCCCCAGAAGTATCCATCAGCTAACGATGAGTGAGGTATTGCAGCACAAATGCATTAGCTTCCTTGTGGGCTGGTTGGGAAGACATGGGGTCATGTTCCCTTAGTCTCCTAGGGCTCCCCAGCAGACTGAGCTCCAGCTTCCACAGTGCTAACCAGTTTCATAGCATAATCTTTACTGGCTTTACTTTTTTTTTTTTTTTACCTGTCTCCCTTACTTCTCTACTGATGTTTTCTGGGGTCACCCACTACATAGACTACTTGAATTCTAAGCCTTGTATCTGGTTCTGCATCTAGGATAACCCAAACTAAGATATGATCTTTAGTCCTTTTATTTCCTATTAGAATGAAATGTACTTTTCATTAAATACTCTGGGACACACATCCCTTGTAATTGATTTCACAGAAGTGTGATCCTCACCAAAAACCACAAGTCCAAAAGGGCCACAGAATTATTCATATACTAATTTTATAGTATGAGAAAGTTTCCCCCATAGCATAAATACCTGTCATAGTGAGATAATTCTTCAATAGAAAAACTTACTATAGAAATCCATTTGGGTAGAACCAAGGGTAAGAGAAAAGGTAGCTGCTGATCGTTTTTATTTTTTCTTTTATTACTCCTCACATATTTTCTCAACATATATGCGTCCCTGGACTTCATTCTTCTGTGCAAAAATGTATTTGCTGGTTATATTCAATGAATGTAACCAACATATCTAAAGGAATATTTACTCAGCATTTCCATGCACTTAGCACTCACTTTAAAACCTATACAGTAGTCCCCACAGCTTGTCACTCTGTTGCACAGATAAGCTTTCACCATAGGGAAAAATGTGAAATAAATATTAAAAAGTATAACTACTCAAGCATGAATTTTATGGTAATTAAAAGAATTCTATGTAGAAACAGCTCAAAATGCCAAATGCTACACTGTAGTAGCAGTTTAGATGGAGGAAAGGTAGAAATAAGTAAAAAGATACCTAGAACCATCTGCATTTCAGGCTTTTATGTTACCGATAAATCCTTAAACCAGTGACCTAAAGGCCTCGATTGCTCCTGCCTGCTCTTGAATGGCTTGGGACAAATAGTATTAATATTCTCCCTGGTTACACATAATTTGCTCATTTGATCAGTCAATCCATGTTTGTTGAGCATTCCCCTAGATTCACAGCAGTAAGCAGAACAAAATTCTTGCCCTCACCAAGTTCACATTCTAAAAGGGGCAACCAGCAAATCAGCAAGTAAGCATTTACATTTATAATATAATATCAAGTAATAGGACTCTGAAAAAAAAAATAAAGCAGGCATAGTAGTGCTAGAAAATGATGGCAGTGTGATTATTTTAGATAGGGTGGTCAAGAATGGCTTCTCTGAGGAGTCATTATTTGAACAGAGGGAGCCCAGCTCTCAAAGAAATGAGAGTAAGATATTCCAGGCAGAAGAAAAAGGCAGTGCAAAGGCCCTGAGGTAGGGATACACTGATCATGTTAAAAAAAAAAAAAAAGAAGAAGAAGAACAGGATGAGTCAGTAAAAGTGCTATCATAAGAGATAAGGTTAAGAGATTAGGCAGGAAGTAGGTGCTATAAACTTGTAAGCTTGGAGTTTAGATTTCATTCTGAGTGGATGGAAAGACATTGGAATGTTAAAAAGATCACTCTGGCTAGGATGTGAAGAATAATGTTCAGAAATGGAAGAAAGACAGCCAGCGAAGAGGCTGTTCCATCATCAGGTGAAAGATGATGATGGCTAGACTAGAGCGGTAGTGGTGGAGGGAATGAGAAGTTGGAGAATTTGGGTTAGGAGAAAGAAGAACAGAGGCTCTCTCCTAGCCGCTTTGCTTAGATGACCTTATGAATGGTGGTACTAATTACTGAAGTAGGGACCACAGTCAAGAAGCAGGTTGTGGATGGGAACGGAGATAAAGAACCAATTTGAGGCATATTGAGTCTGAGATGCCTATTATCCTTCTTAGTAGAGTCAGTTGAATATCCTAGCCCAAATTTCAGGATCAAGTTTGGGCTGGTGATATAAATTGGAATTCATCTGCATTAGATGCTATTTCAGTCTTGGACTTGGGGAGCAAAATTGGGGAAAAAAAGAGAAAAAGGTCTGAGGACATAGTCCTGGAGCAGTCAGAAGTGAAAGGAGAAGAGGGGGCGGGGGTTAGAAAAGAAGTCTGAAAAGAATCAACTAATGGGGTAGGAGAAAGCAGGAAAAGTTCTTTATATTTGACGGTAGCATGGTTGAGCTAAACTCAAAGGGGAACTCAGCGTCTCATTGCTAGTGGTAATAAAAAGATGGTGATCTTCCAGGGGTCCAGCTATAAAATTGATACGAAAAGGTGTTTGGGTGGTGTTATCAAAAAGAAGAAGGAGTTTTGAGCAGAGTTTGGGTGACAGATGGAACTTGAAGAAGGGAAACAAACCACATGGCATCTACCCTACCACCCTGTCTCCAAAGTGAAAGCCTTTAATTGCTGGCAGAAGAGAAAGGCAGCCTAAGAATCCAAAGGAGCTGGTTCCATGGGGGATGCTGTGAATTGCCGAGCATGACAACTACTGCAGACCCAGGTACCCAAGCTGGGCAGAGGATTGTTTTCCCACCTGTGCACAGACCGGGGTGTTGGGCACCTACACCTTTGACACAGACACAAGCGATCTCACGGAAGGCACAGCAGTAAGGTTGCAAGATCTCCCAATGACTCAGCGTTACTGTGATACAGGTGAGCTGGCAGCTCATTAGCACAGACTCCAAATCCCCGATTCAGGTCCTCTCCAGGGCATTTGGTTCCCACTGGACAGCAGAGCCGAAGCAGCTCTCTCTCTTGCACGCTGCCTCTGAGACAGGCAGCGCGTTCGATACAACTAACCTGTGTTGAAGAAGGATCCAGTCCATTCCGCATCCGTTTTAGGAAATACAGAAACTGGTGGAGGCAGACCCAGGGCTCTCCCATCCAGATCTTTAAAGAGATATTTTCTTGGACTTTCACAATCCGATTCAGGGCAGACTACTCTTCCTAAATCTTTCCTATGAAGATAGACAGAAAAAATAATTTTCTCATTCCACGATAAGCAGTAAGAAGAAAACATATATTGGTAATGCTGATCTTGTATAAAATAAATTCAACAGGATTTTATTATTAATAATGTGTTACACAGATAACTCTGTATAAAATAAGTTATTTCCCAGTTATATGGTCAAGAAGATAGACATTCTTATTAACCAAATATTTTGGATATCTGGATATATAATCTTTACATAAATCACTGATTTTCTAAGAAGCAAGATAACAATAAAGTGTTCCTAACTCTAACATCTGCTGAACATAATATGATTATTTCTTTATGGAACTTCAGGGCTTTTCAGTATTTTAAGATTATCATTATAAACATCAATTATATTTGTGCTACATACAAAGACATAAAACTAGAAATTCTCATTCAACAGTGGTCATAAAGATAGACATGGTTTCTGCACTTCCAAAATTTAGATTCGAGTGAGACATATAAACAAGTAACCGGTAATTACAACATTGAAATATAGAGAATTTATTTCTCCTGGTCTAATTCTTTGAGGTACCATCAGTAATTACATTAAATATTTATTGCATGTAAACCATGTATCAGGTATTAGTATTAACAGTACAAAAAATCTGATGCTAATATCATATAATACTATGATTTGAATGATGGTGTCCCTTCAAAATTCATGTTGAAACTTAATCCCCAGTGGAACAGTATTAAGAGATGTGGCCTTTGGGAGGTAAATAAATGGGATTAGCACCCTTATAAAAGGGCTTAAGGTTGACCAGTGCTCTCTTGTTTTTCCATTTCTTCTGCCATGGGAGGATGGAGTGTTCCTGCCCTTCAGAGGATAAGCCAACAAGGCTTCGTCTTGAAAGCAGAAAATAGCCCTTCCCAGATACCAGTCCTGCCAGAGTCTCAATCTTGGACTCCCAGCCTCCAAAACAGTGAGAAATGAATTTCTGTTCTTTCTAAATCATCCAGTCTGTGGTATTTTGTTACAACAGCACAAAGACATGTAACTTCACAACTATTTCAGCCCATGGATAAGATACAAACATAAGGAGAGTGAGACAGCATAAGAAAAATAACAAAATAACACAAATTGTCTGCCTAATAGTATTTAGATACCTAAAA